TGACGAACCCAGAACGTATGAGAGAATGTTCAAACTTTGTTTCGTTTAGTTTCGATGTGGTATAAATCCTTGAGCTTTGAACTTTTTTTCCACTGGGCAAAATTACACATACAAAAAAGAAAAGTTGTTAATAACAATTCGGAAAAAATAAAGGAAAAGTTGAAAGCTGCGCATCGAACAAAAAAATAAAAAGGGGAAAACAAAATTTGAGTTTGTTGTGAAAAATGTGCTACAAGCTAAGCTCATTTATCACAATGATGAAGTTGCCAAAAGTGAGGGAGTTGGCCGAAGGGATGAGTTTGGGGCCATGTCATGGCGAAACAGCATTCGATATTCATGCTTTTACTTTAATCATAAACCGGGACACATACAGGCACTTCAAAAATGTAAAATAAGTCGCCCCAGTCAATGTTTTGTTCGCCAACGGATCACTCCTCCTCCACTCCCCCTTGAACTACCATTCCCGTTCAATTTGATTGCAGTTCTCAACTTTAGCAACGTTGATGACTTTGTTTTTGTCAACGTCATGACTGTCATGCAGAACGTGTTCCAGTTCATGTTCCACTCCACTCTCATGTTGTGTAACAGATTTTGCCTCTTTGAGGCTATATATTTATTGTTTCCCAACTCGCAAATACTTCGAGTGGAGCGGAAGTGCTCGGTTAAGATTGCTGCCAGCTGCTTATTGGCATTAAAGGCGGTCTGTTTGAGTTATGGCTTTCATGTGCGTCTCAAGGTGCTTGACTGCACATTAAGTTTAAGATATATAGAAGTTTGGTAGTAGATAGAGAGAACTTAAATAATAATAAAGAAATGCCAAAAGTTGTTCAACTTTTCTTCAATACTTTAACCTACTATACAAACTTCTCTCTGCATATAAATTAAACATATATCTAAAAAATCAATAAAATCAATCGTCATGCATAATCTTAGCATACAAATAGACATGCTGATAAAGTCTCTTTTGATATGACAGAATACAAAAATGATAAACAATTTCAATGATATTTTTCTCTGCCTCGTTTGACACAAAACCTCTACCCACTAAAAGCTTATATACAAAATAATCTGTGACCTCATTTTATATATAAGCAAAAGGATTCAAAACAACATTTGCTGATATGCAAATAAGTGAAAAAACAATCCATTAATCGAAGGCAATTAGAGTCTGCGGCAAATGTCACTTTGATAACCTCTGAGCCATGGCACTGCCCCTCGACACATTTTTGGTCATATTAATCCGCATCCGGATTGCGGCAGTGGACAAGAAACACACAGAGAGAGAACACAAACACAAAAAACCGTTCCACATTTCAATTTGATGACCCGATGACCTCGCTTTAGTGGGCGTGGCTGTGTGGGTGTGTGTGTGTGTGTGGTCATTGTTTGCCACATTGACGGGTTAAAGGCCTTAAAGTCAACAGTCAAGGCCTTATCACTGAGTCGAGCTGGCGAGGATGCGAGGAAGGCCACATAGCATTTTAAAGGATACCGCATCCTTTTGTGGCTGCTAAGCTTTACAAATTTGTTATTAAGATGTTTAACCCAAAAAAAGAGCGCCTTACATGAGTGTGTGGTAAAAACACAAACAACAAAAATCGTATAAAAAATGGTCACAAATAAATGAGCAAATAAATAACAAGTTGCCCCAGAAAGTCTTTTGTTAGACTGGTCATACAGGAAGATCTGGCGACTCGAAGGATGGCGAAGGGATGGTAAATTCTGCCCTCCAGGTATGTTTCGTTGTCTGGTGCGTGATAAGCACTCGAGAATGCCGCTCCCGGGCAAGCAATTTAAGCAATGGAAGGACTTACACACACTCACACCATGGCAGTTTGTCACTGTCCTTCGGAATATACACATATCGCCAAAAACTAATTTCATCAAATGCGAGTTGACTGGTCACAATAAATTGAATGTTGATGGGAAGCAAATCAGGCCGAAATGTAAGGCAAATGGTTTACCTGAATATTGAATAATAGGGTTTTGGGGGAAATTACTAGATGGGTATCCTTTTTGTAATTAATTTATAAAATTTCGTTCATTTCACCTGGTTAACATCCTTGATTATTGATTTTTATTTTCAATTTTAGTTGCCTTTCTGTAAATTTTTCAATTTTGTGCTTTCACCAACTCTGGTCATTTTTTTTTAAATTACTATATAACCATCTGTGACCAAGCCCATGCAGCCCGAAAGTAGGATACGCCCACAAATGTTTCCACTTGCCAGCATACATAATTAAATCAAATATATACACGCCCACGCAGGTAGAAATACTGGCGGCGGCACATATGTTACGCATACGCAGCGTTGAACACTTAAAAATGCTGGTCACTGGTGGTTAGCAATTGCGTGGCTAAACCATAAATCACACGGCCTGTACAATGCCAACACCTGACAACCTGGCAACTTGTAGGGTTTAAAATGGCTGAAATCAGAGTGGTAATATAGAATTTAGCCATCGGCGGGACAGCCCTTGAGCAAATGCACTAATTTCCACCTTTGGCATGCATTCTGATATATCAACTGAAAACTATCTGCGGGGGGTTGTGTAAGTGGGAGGACACTGTTTGTTGTTGTTTGCCTTCGGCGGCGTCATTAGCATCAAAGTAAATTTACGTTTATAAATTAGCCCAAGGGCGAAACGAACTGAATGGCGGCCATAATTCAGCCAAATCATATGAGCAGAGGCAGAGAGAGAGGGAGAGGCAGAGGGAGATAGAGATGGAGACAATAAATGAGATGGTGGTGGAGCGGGGGGGCGGGTAATCCGGGGAAAGACCTGAATGTATGCAAAATACTTCACCGTAATTCCTTCCCTCTCACTGCACTTAACGAAAATTATTTGACCAAAAGTGATACATTTTTCTAGATATTTTAGCATATTAAATATTAAAGTTAAATATATTAAAAGTTCACTTTTAAAAGACAAACAAAAGTTAAGAAAACTACGAATAGAAAAGTTCGAGAAAAGTTCCAGCCAAAAGCTAGAAATAGCTCACATCAATATTTAATCTGTTTTATAATAAGAACTCGAGTGGCATAGATAAGAAGATATAAATAAGTGGTCAAGAGAAATAGCCAAAGATAATAAAAAAGACTTGTATGTATAAATTAATTTCATTCGTTTGTATCTGGAATGAACATAAAAGCTGCTTCTTTTAAGTATCTATTCGCGTCGCCCTCTCATCAAGCAGTCGTGGCCGAGCGGTTAAGGCGTCTGACTAGAAATCAGATTCCCTCTGGGAGCGTAGGTTCGAATCCTACCGGCTGCGATAGATAGAACTTTTTTTTCTTCTATTTTTTTGAGTTCGATGGAAATTTGACAAATTATTTTCTGTTTCAGAATTACACTTTGCCTTAATACTTTTCCCTCAGTGCACCCCACTAGCTTGTTCGTTGGCACAACTTATGCAAATTGCGACTCTTTGGCTTGGTCTTTGTCAAGCTAAGAAGTTGCATACCAGCAACTTGCTAGAGCTCATAGTTTCCCCTTCTTTGAAAGACTACATAATATATATGTATATTGCCAAACACATATACATATATATATATCAGAAAATTGCATGTTTCAGTGCAATGAAAACAAATCGCAAAATTACCATAATCAAAGCATAAAAGGGATTTCTGTTTTATTCTTAGTCACCCGCACAGCTTCCTTCTCTTAGCCTGTTGCCTGGCTCTCTTCCTCTTCGCTTTCCTTTAGCCAAGACAAAAGAAACAAACCTCTTTTCCTACTTGGTTACTTTCTTTTTGTTTTTTTTTTTTTGAAAGTTGTCGACCAAGTTTGCTCAACGAAATATTTTAAAGTAATTGGCCTCGTTTGTTGGCTGCACGGGATGCGAGCTGCTAGCTGCTAGCTGGTATCTGCAAGAGCAAATTGAATTTCGAAATAGATCTATTTGAGTTTGGTAATTGGTGCGGGGTTCCCCTACGAATTGTTTTTGACAAGTTTTTAGCTCGTACTTTATTGCGGTCCTTCGTCCTTACGCTCTATAGAATACGAGTGTAATTGAGACGAGGCGCCAAAAGAAAGTGTCAGAAATAAAAGTCTCAAAATAAAAAAGCTAAAAAAGGAAATGAGACTGCTTTTTGAAGCTTGGACAGCATTGCTAAATATTAACTCGAGAAAGGCAAGTTTCTTATTACTTAATTTTGAAATAATTGTAATTAAATTTAAAGCTTAAGTTTAATTAATTGTTTTAGCTTGTTAATTAACTTAACTTTTTGGAAAGAGCTAATGCAAATTGACCAAAGAAGAGTTAACTAAGGGGTGTGGCCTTAGTTGATTGGCCAATCGGAACGGACCAATTAGATGGGATCCAATCAAAATTGGCCAGCAAGGAGGAGTCAACTAGAGTTGGCCAATCAGCAATGGGCAAAGGTGTCATTTGAATAGCAAATTTGTATTTCATGAATAAATTAATAACATTATAAGAAGATAATCTTTTTTACAAGCAGCTAATTTGTTGGTAGGCAAGAATAAGCATGTGTAAAAATGTGTAAATCCTCCTGGGTGGAATGTGATCTTTATAAGCTTAACTTCATCACTCATCAGAAGTGACTTCTTCCGATCCTCTCTCCACTCTATTAACTTTAGTGATCTGATCAACAAGATACAATCCATTCTATAAACAAACACAAAAGGAGAACTATAACGACACAGGCCTGGATTTCAGATGCTAATAAACCTTTTTAAAGAATCTTTTTTTACTAAAAACCAAAACTATAGCAATAAAAACTATTAAAATATCAGCCACTTACCCCTCCTTTTCTAAGAGCTTTTACTTTCGAACAAGCTTTTGCTGTTAGATGATTCTTGAATGGTTTTTGACTTGGCTAAGTACAAACTACCATAAAACTGACAGCCAGTTGAGTAAAATTCAAATTGTCAAATAATATAGAAAAAATGCTATAACAGAGCAATTAAATTGGATAAATAATATCAAAAAGTTGTCATAATAAAACTTATCATTGCAATAATGTAACTAATCAGACCTTTTATTCATTGGTTTTATTTTTTTTTCTTTTATTTTCTTTTATAAAATTACTAGAGTACAAAAATTTTGTGCTAAAAAACTAGGTTTACAATTTTGTTGCTAATTTACAAAGGGCCTAAGTGAAGTTAAAAGTTAACCAACTGGAAGACAACAATTGATTGGACACGAAACATAAGTACAATACATACTAAAGGACTATGGACGTAAGATATGTACCAGCTAGGAACACACAAGTTATACGAGACAAGACAAGACACTAATTACAGGATCTAAAACAATTATTGCTTTCCAGTTTTGTTTTTGTTGTTTTTTTCTAAATGGATGGAGGTGGGTTCTGCGTACAAATTCGATTGGGTTCTACGGGTTGTAAGAAACCTGCTCCTCAGCGTTTACCACGCCCACTTGGGAGAGACCTTGTCAAAGTTCCACTCATCGGGATGTCCCTGATGGCCACCGCCCTCCTCCACGGGACTCATTTGTGACCACTTAAAGGGTCCACTGCCAATCTTTCGCATGGCAATGGCCCTCATATCATTTCGCACAGGTCGCCTCTCAGTAATGAGTTCCATTTCCGCCAGACTGTCTGCATCCTCGATGCTCACGCTGAGACGTTCATCACCCATGGAGGCGGCAGGTGGTGCACTGCCATCCTTACCCTCATCCTCCTCCAAAGCCCTTGGCTGGACATGTTGGAATCGCAAGAAGACAGGTCCCGCAAAGGCATGGAAATCGGTGCTACCCAATCGGGCGTTGTAGGAGAACAATTTTAGATCTATGTTGCCATAGGCAATCGACTCCTGGCTGCCCAGCAGATCGCCACGGAAACCATGTGTCCGCAGATACTTGTCCACCGCCGAAAGACTGGTCAACTCCTCCTCATCGGCCGCCGTCAGCTGCTTATCCTCGCTGTAGTTCACACCGCTCAACTCCAGGATATTCTTATAGTACGGCACTCCATTGGCCAGCCAAGATGAGTTGCCAGACACCAGAAATCCTTGAGTCACATCCTTCTTGGTCATCATTCCTGGCAACTGCTCGGCAATCCATACCATATCCTTCAGCTGATCGTGACGCTGTTGGATGGCTGTCCTATCCTTCTCATTGACCGTCACAGCAGCATCGTCATGCTTGTCATCACCTTCCAGGGCATTATATAGATTATCCTGGACCTTCATCTTGTTCAGATCCACGGTGATCCATTGCTTGGCTCCGGTGATGGGATGCCTGGCCATTGCAGTGGCCCAGGTCTGACGATTCTGCGAGATCCGATTGGCAGCCATGACACGAGCCACCAAGGGCACCATCTTTTTGGGATCCACCGTTTTCCATAGCTGCAGATTCTCGTTCTTGATGCCAACGCCTCCTACGATCGAATGCAGGTGACGTCCCTTGATGGTGTAGAAGTCATCAGTGGAACCAAGAATACCAGGATAACCAGTGAAGGTAATATCCACTCCGGGAACTGTGTTACTCCTCAACTTTGGTGAGAAATGGTAATGGAACTTGTAGCGTTTCTGGATCCTCAACATGGAGGAATAACTCCCTGCCGTGCTGTGTCCAAAAAGCAACTGAAGTGTATCATCTTGCTGGACAATCTTCGTCAACATGGAAGCGCTTGGCAAGAAGAAGTTCTTTGGCTGATCGGTTCCTGATTCCTCAGTGTGTTCCGTATTATTGGGCAGCACATAGTTCTCGTAGTAAATCTTCAGATCCTGAATATCGGCTGCGGCGTTCATCAGCAGGAAATCGGAAAATGGTATCTCCTCCTCCAAATCGGAACGAGCTCGAGTTGCTCCGCGCTTGTAACCAGTTTCCAGTCCCTCCAACTGGGTGATAAACAAATGCAATTGATGCCAATAGTGATCATTCTCAGCCTTTTCAGTCTGCCTCTTCAAGCGATCGTAGTTGGAGGTCAAGAGCTCCCTCAGCCAGCCGCAGAACTTCTGGGTGCTTTCATCTCGCTCACAGGAAGAGGAAATGGTACTGGAAATGTTAAAATATATATTAAAATCTTTAAGTTTAGAAAGTATATTAGCTTAACTTACTTTGACCACTGATTGTAGATGTTCCTCCAGGTCAGCGAACCCTCTAGCATGCCAGCTGCATAGGCCTGAACCCAATCTGGATATGTTCTTTGTGTCTCCACCTCGATTTGAGCCCAACTAGAAAATAAAAATATAAATTAATTTATAATTTAAAGCTTAAGGATCATAAAATCTTATTTAAAGAAGAACTAACACCTACCCATTCTCATAAACCGAATCCTTGTAGCAAATCCTGCCAACACCCGTGGGAATGTTGACCAGATCGTTCTGCTGCTTCCAGTTTTCAATTTGGAAGCCAACCTGCTTCGTCCACAGAGCAGTAGCACAGTAGGTGCCATCATACTCCGGCCGCTCCATGTAGCCAATGAAGAAGGCTCCGATGACCAAGAGACCAGCACCGATTAAGATGTAGGTCCCTATCCGCGTTTTTTGCCACGATGCACCAACGACTTTCAACATTGTGCCGGCCGTTTTGAAGCTGCTACGATTCGAAAAAGAAAGATGTTTCCGCAAAAATCGATCCAAGAATCAGTATTCCAAATTTAAGATTCCCTTTTTTTCTGATAGATTTTATCCCAAATAATTGTGATCGGCACGAGCCGCGTAGGAGTGTCCAAGACGTTGGGCAATCAGGTGGCCAGTGTGCAGGTGGTTCTGTGGTTGGATGGTGCAGGTGCTGGAGGAGCAGAAGGTGCTGATCTTGGTGGCCACGCTGTTGAGCGCCTTGGCCGAGTGGTTCATGGGTGTTGCGCTGCTTTCAAGCAGAGATTCCAACGGTATCCAGATAGTTATTTATACTAACTATTGACTTTAAATGATTTCGGTGGTGGTTTAGCGATGAATTTCTATTTTGTTTTTATGGAACTTGGCTATGTCTTTTGAGGTTCAAGTTGTATCCCTGTAAAATCAAAATTCAAATTGATATATTATAAACTAAGCAAAAACATCGATCATATATCAAGAGATATGACGTCTTGATGGAATATTTATTTATGCCATCAAACAGCCATTCATCAGTGTAAATATTTACTCAATAACTAACAAAAATAAACAAAAACTTCCATGATTTTTCCTTTCATTACTGAATGCTCATTAAATATAATAACCTGTACCGGAATCTTCCAATGATACGCCATTGAACCATTTTCCATTTTCATTTTACACACTTTCCCTGAAGATCTGATAATCGCCAAAAAAATGTTTATTCTACACTTTCGCTACTTTTGGCTAAAGGAAATTCCTTTCCAGAGAGGGAGAGGTAAACAAATTTAAGCATTTGTAAAACTAATAAATTAATTTTATGGCTAGAAAAGTACTCGAGTGCCTAAATTGCTTTATGGCCAAAACAGCAGCCAGAGAAATTTTAAGAGTGTGCTAAAAAAGATAAGCAGGTGCTCACCTGTTACCTATTTTGCAGATCTCAAACAAAAATCTACTCGTACATAATAAAAATAAGCCTCTAAAATAGAAACAGTGGAAAACTTTCAATCAGTTTATTTAGCTTGTCTTGAGGTTTGTCCTTAGTTAATTAATAAACAGAATTATGATTACAAAAACCAAATTGCCTTTTGCAATTACAATTTCAAAGCCAATGCCAGAAGTTTATTGCTCAATCTGTGATGTAAATTGAAAATTCTATTCAGAAATTCCAAACTAAATCTGTATACTAAACGGTGGGTAAACAATATGATTGTGTACATTCGGCACGTGGAGAACAAATTCCACAACTCGTATCAAAAGTATCGGAAAATTGTGTTTTCTTTGCAAATTTTTTGAACAAATCTGGTTGGTATTAACATCAATCAGTCAGCAGGCTCATATAATTAAACATTTATATCGAATGTGCTGTATTCCTAGATTGTTTTCCCTGATTGTATACTAAATGTATTCTATAATTCCGATGGTCTTAATGTTATAAACGCAAATATTTATGGCAACAAAATTAGATTAGTATTTGACTTGAATTTATTAACAATTCTCACCTTTTGTTTCCCGGGTCCAGGAAGCTGCAATATCACAAGTCAACCCATTTGAAGAACTGCAAGAAAAAGATATAAATTTTTTGTTTAGTTTAATTCTGGAATATCTATATTTAAAAGGCGCCTTTAACTTAAACATTTTAACAGACTTTCGGTCAACGTTTTATTAATTCGTTTTGTTGTTTATTTATTCAAATGATGGCAAGTCTCGTGATTTGTCTGATTTCTGCCGACATATAATCGTATATATATATAGCATATATAGCGAAAGGAGTCTGGGGAGTCTTTGTTTATTTTGGCTTCGATTGGACATCGCTGAGCAGGCGCACGCGCTTATTATTATTGGCTTATTTGTCATAAAATGTTGATCATGGCAATTACTGGATATACGATATGATATATGAACGCTAATTGGCTGGTGGTCTTTGTTGGAGTACTGGAAGTTCGTAATTGATTTCTTGGAAAGCTTATATGGGTTTCACATTGACCTATCAATGACTATATCCATATTCTAATGATCTTATCTAGTAATTACTCGTAGTGGTAGTTGTCATAGCCCTTAATCGTTTTAATCTTGATTAATAATCTTGGAATTTTTTTATATGGCAAAGCACTTAATTGATATGGCATACGACGAGGTTTTAATGAAGTATGAAAGTTATGCCATTGAGTTGTTAAAGAAACAGCAATAATTCCATTTCCAAGTATTTAACTGAGATGTCAGGCTGGCTTTTTAGTTGCTTTTTTTTGTTATGACAACTTTAATAACTTGGCAACTACATACTTTAAGCATTGCTTGATATATTTTCAACACTTTCTAACTAAAATAAATTAACTTCCAAGCAAATCATTCTAATTTACCTGCTTGGAAACCCCTAAATAAAGTAAGTTTTCTGGAACTGTGACTAATCAGTGGGCGTGCAACTGAACACATTGACGTTCAAGGCTTAAAGTAAACAATTAAATTGCAAATACGTAAAAAAAATCACAAGTAGCAAAGGAAATTATTTCATTTCACTCATTTCCATTTCAGTTCGATGTGAAAATAAACAGCCAGCAAGCTGAAAGAGAAAAGAGTCAGCCTCAAGACATCAATCGATGCCATCAATGAAAAAAGTTTATATTTTTAAACATATTAAAGGTAATCCATAGCAGAACTTAATTGACTTGCCCTCCTGGAAGGCTGCAACCCTCAACCAGGCTGTCAATAAATGTATATCAATTAACTGACAAGTTCGAAGAAAACTTCAACTGACGTAGGGAATTAACAGAATGTCGGGAAGGCTAAAAACAAACTTAGGCTCTAAAATAGATCCCACTGACGTCTTTGCAGCGCATTTAACTCACTTAACTCGATTAACGCTATTATCATTATCACTAAGCAAACAAAGTTGTTTTGTTTTTCTTTTTTTTTAGAAACATATAAAGTATATATCTTTATATACATACGCTACTGAACTAGATAGTGACACTGTTTTCATAGCCCTGACAAAATTATCATATGTATTTACAGCCGTTTTGTCAGTTGATCAATCAAACTTTAGTCAGGGGTAAATAATTTACACATGCCAGACCCAAATCGGGCTTAACTTTCGCTGTCGCCAAGTGAAAAAATATTGATAAGATTGTCAGCATATTTATTAGCTAAATATTTAGATATGCATGTCTAGCTTTTGGCATATTAAGAACGTAAGTTCAATCAGCAGAACTCTATATAGTTCAGTCCGATAAGATAAATCATAAAGTCTAGCCATTTACTGGAAAAAACCCCAGCCCGTAATGATTTTAAAAGTGATAAATACACATTAATATGAAATTTAAGAACTCATCAAGTTAATAGCTACTAGAAAATATTTCCAACCCACATTGATTCTTAAATTTATGAACAAAATAAACACACGAAATCAACCCACATACTCCATAATATACTTTTTAATAAAAACAAAAAAAAAATCGCAAAAATATTCCAAAAATTTCTTAAAACCTTTAAAAATGTTGTATATTATTTCCAATTATTTGCTTGATTAATATTGATTTTCCATTGGTAATGGAAACTTTTGATGGCTAGACGTATTTTCTATTGTTCATTCATTTGGAATAGACAAGCTAAGTAAACACTTGTAGCGAACCTACAAGCTCTGCAATAAATATATTTGCCCAACAAATTCATAATCTTTTGGGGGAAATTTTAAACGCCACATGTGGCATTATGTAGAAACTAGAGGGGGGGCCATGGATTTTTAAACGTGCCACGTGAGTGATCCAGGAAATAATTCCAAGAGAAATGCTTAAGTTTATGGGAATCGCTCAATTTACTACCTTCAATGAATGCCCACGAACCGTCTACGTTGCATTATTTTCGTCGGGTTGACATTCGATTGAGGTAATGCGAAAACTGCTAACTTGGCCGATGCCACGCGCCGCTATCCAGTTGACAACGCCTCCGATTTTGATAAGCCCCATGTCCATGTCCGAGCCAAAAGTCTGGAGTGAGTGTCGTGTAAACTGAGAGGCCTGGGCAACTAAGTTGGAAGTCAGCACATCAAATGCGCCTGTTTTGTAATGCCAGACAGCGCCGCACTGCGGAAGGCATACACTGAGCGAAAATTTATATGAAATTTAAGTTAAGATATTAAGTCTTTAAGTTGTAAGCTTGAAATTAATGTTTTTAAGGAATATTTTCATTAAACTTCTTTCTGCAGTTTTAAGAGGCTTATACCTTTGATCATACTTATATTTAAATATAATTTTCCTCAGTGCAGATACTTTATCTTTTGTGGGGATTGCACATTTTCAAAATGGAGCCCTTGTCCAGTGTTTAGACTACTGACAGACAGACAGACAAAACACCAAGCGCCGCGTCGCGACGTCTGAGACTGGGGGAGATCTAAAGATCCGGACAGAATTTCTATGGTCCACACGTGGACGAGACAGGTTATTCAATATGAGAATAAGAAGAATTTACTGTGATCGTCTGGACTGAGCGTTGACAAGGCATTTCATTAGATACTACAACTCAGCTGATCGGATTCAACACGCTCCAATCGAATGATAATCGAGATGCTAACGACTCATCCAGCTGATTGCAACTGAGCTGTGAATGATACGCTTAGTCTGCTGACTTAATCAGATTAAAAATGGCAAGAAATGTATGTATTTTAAATTAGCTAGGGGCTGGTGCGGAAAATTCTTAATTAGTATATGCTAATACGTAGGGAATGAAATCGGCATAGAAGAATAGAATGTTAATAATTTGCGATCACTGCGAATTCGTGAATAATCAGGCATATTAAAAGCGATTTCATTGTCCCCAATGGTTGTGTATTCACTTTGGGTTCCCAGGAGAGGAAAACGATTTATCGAACCAATGATATAAGTTAATGATATAACTTCCTGTGAATATTACACTCTTTTCAAAGGTTTGGCTTTATATAAGGTCCTCATTATATGGCAGCTAATTTATTAAGCTTTCTAGGAGGTTTTTGATTTATTTTGATATTTTACTTAATTCCCAAATTGTTTTCCCTTTCCCGATGCGTAGTTCATTGTCATTGTCTAAATGTCAATGGCAACAAAATCTAAACATTATATTATAATTCTTGAAAGCTTTCTAAGATTAATCAGTTCACTAATTCTGATGCAACAGTAACCGGTTATTATACAAAATCCCACGGCTGATAAGTTCGTTTACCTTTTTCGAGAAGTCACTTACCAAAATCTATTTTGCTTTCAAATTAACTGCAATTATCTGGAAATTTGTTCAGACTGCGACTTAATTTGTGTTAAAATTGTTTTTAATGCCTCGTAAACCGGAAAAATCTGCACTGAATAAGTATCTCAAAGATACAGCGGAATCTCCTTTGCGTCAAACTCTTAGCCCGATCGCTTCTGTTTCTGTTTTGGATCGTGTGAATGCCTTGACGTTGCCACCGAAACTGGCGATGATTTTTCAACATTCGGCTTTTTGTCTTTCGGGTCTCGGGTTTTTCTAGCCACTCGACGAAGGCGGGAAAATCGTGCGAAAATTTTCATACCCGCTAGCCGAAAAGTTCACGGGTATGTGGTATTCCTTATGAAGGTGGCCATTTCCTATCTTATTTGATAAGTCAGAGAAATTACCTTGATCTTCTTAATTAAATGAATTAGTAAGATGTCATAGTACTTCTATATTTTAAGGCTTGACACTAGCGATTATCACAGTTGGTTCTAAATATAGGTCTTAATATGAAATGGAAATTTTTGAGGAATTTATATGACTTTTTATAAATTGCTTTAGCTGTCAATATATAGATTATATATTGAAATGCTGGGAAATTCCCCCGATTTATATGCAGATTAAATTCAATATTTTCGATTTATGAAAACAAAATTAGGATAATCATAGAACTGAGTATTTAAAAGTTGGGAAAACCCGCTAGATCTTCTTCTTGCAACGCCTCGTCTTTTGGCGTTCAAAATTTCTATTGAACTTGGCCGCCATTTTAGAGGAAGAGGTTCGGTTTTGTTTGGTTCACTTCGGATTGACAGGTGTTATATGCTCTATATAAACAGCCATGCAGCGCTATATCTGCCGAAGAAGTGCAATCGGAGGTCGGAGAACGTGAGGTCTTGGGTTAAAGTTTTCTTTGGTCAGATTTATTTATGGCCTTTATGGCTGATTTATTTGCGCATTATGCACTTGTCCATGCAAGCTGCTAACTGACAGGCAATCGAGTTTCCGCTTGGCTACAGTTTTACAATTGAAATTGACATTTAATTGAGCCGCTTGGCAGTGCGCAATTGAAAATGGTTTTCCCATGAAAATTGTAGAGCACTCAGCTTCATCTCTCTCTCACTCGCTGTCTGCTTTTCCATCTCTTTCGAGGCTTTCTAGTGCATTTCACTTTCTTCGCTCAACAAATTGATAAGAGTCTGTTTTTTGGGGTCAATCAAAAATTCTTCTTGACGGGGCTTGCTCTCAATTGAAATGAATTGAAATGGCGACAAGTTTGCTTCAGCATAAAATACACAGACATTTACATAACTAGAGGGTAAATCGAATGGCGGGGGATAACCTTGATTAATCTTGATCTCTTTGTATTTCGCTAAGCAATTTTATTGACAATTGTCGGTCAATATCAAAGCTCTTGGTGAGCTGTATGTAAGAGTAAAGGGAACTTAGAAGAAGAGCCTAAACAGCCTGTTAATGTATTGCCTCTTTATTCATACTGATTCATCTCTCTCTTCTTTCCTGTTCTTCTTCTTGGGGTGTCTGCATTCCAGGCACGGCCTCTCATACAGTCTTTATTCTATAAATTGAAGTTTCTCCAAATATTACTGTAATATTATTATAGGTTATATGTTCTTAGCTGTGAAATGAAAACCTTTTAAAACTCTTCCAATAAGGAATATAATGAAAGAAAAGCGTTCTTTTATATTTGTATGTTCTAAAAGCTTAGTTATAGTTATAGAGTCTCCACTGTATACCAAGCCAGTAAGGACAAGAACCTCAAGGATTTTGACCTCATTTGTCTGGGGCTGTGGGAATATGAGAATGTAAGCAGGAGATGCCAGTCCGCCGGGCAACTTCTCGGAAAGACCTGCCCCCTTCTATCTTTAATAGTTTTTATTGCCTTTTATTTGTTTTTTCAAGACGAAGAGACTGGAAAGAACATTCATTGAAAAACGCCGCGCCTGCGCAGTGGAACAGAGACGAAAACTTGTTGCTAGGCAGCAAAAATTTACCCCTGGCTCCTCGGCGATCGTTTCTTTTTTTTTAAGGTAATTTGAGGCGTTTTTTTAATGTTTTTTTTTCTTGGAGTTTGTATTCTAGGCCATTGGCTTTTAAGGTTGAACTCTTACTTTTGTTTAAGCGAACCAAAACGTACTTGTACGCAAGGTTTTCATATTGCCGAGGTTTACTTTTCAATGAACTTGTTTTAAACTTTGCTTATTGGCTAAAACGAACTGTTCAGGGATGAAGCTGGAACTAAACTGACACAGATTTTGATGGGTTTGGAGTAGCCAGATCTGATCTCGTGCAAAAAGTTTTATCTCGAGAAGATAATGTTGATGTTTTCAGCGGAAAAGGCACTAAAACGGTCGGACAATCTACGTAAATACGTCAAGAACGATGTATTTTTGGCTGCCCTATGTCTGTCTTTTTATATGACATGTTTATTTGGCAAACTTCTACTAGAAGTTCAGCAAATAGATCGCGTGGATAACTGTTTACTAGGTCTTAACCCATGTCAACGATCTGCCCGACACTCATGTGATCTGCTACAACAATTCCGTTACGATTCTGATACCATTTATATATAATTTTTGTTATTTAATGGATGACTCAACTTGTGGGTAAAGTCTAGCCGATAAGCGATAGCGAAGTCATTCGCGGAACTTAATCAGTGGTTTTGAAGAGACCACATGTGCTAAATATAGGCGACGCCATGGGTATTTCCCCTATGAACTTAGATAAGAGTGCTGGGCTAATGAAATTATTATGAAAGATCATTAAAAATCGCATATAATTTATAACTTTTTAAAGAAATCCTGTTCCGGAAACTATAAAAAATTAATGCTGAAAAGCTCTTAACATGGCGATAAGAGTTTGTGCATTAAAAATATTTTGAAAATTAATGAGAAATATATATGAGAAAAAACGACAAAACAACTTAATAAAAAAACAAATTCTTTAAAAACGACAATTTAATGGCGCTCTACATTTTAATTTTAGAATGAGAAATATTTTGAAAACTAGACATTTTATTTTGGACAACATAAAACTGAAAAATTATTTAAAATTTTCCCACAGAGATTTGAAATATATTTTTTGATGTCTCACACTATCTATTTTTAATAAACTCGTATGATCAAAAGTCAATAAAATCAAGAAGTGTGAAGTGCAAAGTGTTAGTCATTTGAATTACTTACTAATTAAAAGTATGAATTGCATTTTTTAGCTTGAAAATACTTTTGTAAGAGGTAACTTTTTCTTTTTTCAACTGTATTAAAATGGAAAACCTCTGAGACAGCACCCTATGGTGGTTAAACAAAAGTCACTCAAAGGACAGCCACCCCTATTACGTCTCATCTCTCAATCCCCCATACCTAAACACACCTCGTCCTTCCCATTGATTGACAACAAAAAAAAAAACCCAGTCAATCGCAATATGTTGACCCTATTTTTGTCGGTAAACAGATATTGCGACGCGTTCCTGATTTTTTGCCATGGCATTTCGAGGTCAATAATGATACAATGGAACTGTTTCGACTAACAGTTAACACTTAACACCCGAGAGTTCAGCACTCTTCTACCGATTCGGTTTCAGAATGAGATCGAGAGCGAGGACAACTCACCGGAAAATTGAAATGGCTCGTGACTCAGGCAAATTCCGCGGTGACAGATGAGAGAAATTCGCAGGGGTGTTGATATGATTGAGGGGCACTATTTGTTGGATCGCTTTTAGCCACTGCGAAATTTAGCTTTAACACGATTTTGCTATATAGTCACACAACGCTTTCGTGTTAATTATCCATGAAGGGCTACATTGGAAACGCACTGAGTTGGGTGTATAAAAATTTTTCCGGATTTCACTCTCTATAAAGATTGGTTTATTAGCGGCTCTTGAGAACAACACGCACGTTTATTTCGATTAAAAAAAAGTTGTGTCACTTCAGATCATTGAAATGTTTGGTATTATTGTTGCTATGCGGCTTATTTGAAATATCAGCGGCAAGTAACTAATTATACAGCGTGGTCGGATATATGTAATGTGCTGTTTGAGTGTTTTTTTATGGGAGAGTTTTTTAGAACGCGAGAACGTGGCGTTTTTCTTTTATTTTATATTATTTAAACTGAGCGTCAGACGATACTCTTTATTTCTTGTTTGTAGTACGTATTTTTAGCGTCGGCAATTGCACATTCAAGTGAAATTGAAAAGATAACAACGAAATAAAAACTCGAGTTCAACACGAAACACAGATCACAGGGAATTAAAAACGATTTTCCTTCCGTTTCGACGATGCGCACCGGAGAGACTGATATTGTGGGCCTGCGGACGAAGAGTTTTACGATCGGCCTGTCTGACTTACTGGGTTTTCACTCAACTCGGTGGAAGAGGGCGGTTATCGACTCGGTCTGTCCGCAGAAAGTGCGAGAGCAACCACTCAACTACACTACACAACAAAAACGCTCTACATTTTTAATTATTTTGAGAATGTCAAGCATAAAGATAAGGTAATGATAATAATGTAGGTGTTACAACATTTAATTTATGAAATAAAATATGATAGTAATAGAAACAAATATTTTAGTCTTAGTATTTTACTTAACAATGTCTAACCTAAAGAGTTCGTTTCAGTTTTTGGCAAATATCTTCTTATAAGAAATGTAATCTCATTTCCCTTGTAGCTTAGTGTTTAAATTCCATTTTCCACTCAATTGTCAGCCGGCGAGTGAGTAATCTCACCTTGCTCGCGATAGCTCTCCCTAATTTTTTTTACTCCGATCTTTTCGACCTGGCAACGGAATTCTCTCTCGCACTTGGCGAATTGATTTCATGTGCATATGTAAATTGAACAGTTATTCGTGACGTCTTACGGCTATTCAGCTATCGGTTTTTCGAATGGAACTCCGCCCCTCAAAGCGCAACTCTCTGCCAAATGGGCAAACAAAACGTGCGGCGATAAGAGCCAAAGTGATATGGCGGAAATGCTTTCATCCAGATTAATTTGGGTACCCTAAAATACAGGTGACAGGCGTAGAAATTCGCACAAAGTCGTGGATAAATAGGAGGAAATTGTACAGTTTGGACTTCTTATCGCAGACTTACCTGAACAAACAATCGCATCCCCTGCAGGTGGGATGAGTAATCCGTTATCGAAATAACACCTGAACGGAAGGCATTTTAACGAAACGAATGGCTGGCAGTTGAACAAAATAAAATTAAGAAGACTTGAAGGACTTGTAATTTATGAAATTATTATTTATGGCTCGATCTCGAGAATTTGCTCGGGATTATCAGCACATTTTCTGCTTTCGCATTCTTCGGCTTATTTCCATTTTTAATCGCCAGAAACCCAGATTTTAACATTCTTTAAAATCCAAATACCCGTTGTGTTTCAGAACCTTTTTCCGAGATATTTCGAATTAGAATTTTGCCACATGACTGTCAGCTGGTTCCATAGTGTAGCGGTTATCACGTCTGCTTTACACGCAGAAGGTCTCCGGTTCGATCCCGGATGGAACCAGAAGGAAAGTAAATTTTTTTTAAATTTGTTTTTTAACAAAACTTTTTTACTTTTCCGAAACTATACGAAATTTCAACAAAAACTGTAACTATTTAACGCTTAAAGCAAAAGTATTAGTATAAACGTTCTTTAAATATGAAATGAAACGATGTTTCGAATAGAATTCTTTATAACCGGGTTAGGATTGTACACATTTCTAAAATTGTATCATAAAGCAGAATTATAAAATAAATAATTCTTTAAAAAAAAGTATTTATCCACCTGGTTCCATCCGGGATCGAACCGGAGACCTTCTGCGTGTAAAGCAGACGTGATAACCGCTACACTATGGAACCAGTTGTGTCAAAGCCAGCCAAATTTCAGTTTTGTCCAGCAAGGGGATGGAATTAGTTCGTAGTCTGCTTTTCAGCTGTTCACCAAATTCCATAACAAAAACATTAAAATTAATATTAAAAAAACAATTTCTTTAAATAACAAAGAATAAGTGCAGTTTACCAAATATCTCCAACAAAAAGACATTTTCATAAGTTTTTCGTGAGTATCATTATTTTATTTAAAAGCCAAGAGCACATCAATAATACCTTGTTTGTGCCTATTCGAGTAAAATCTTGTTACTACTTAGTTATAAGCATTATAAAATAAGTATAAGTTAAAAATTAAAATTACACACACAGTTGTAAATGTATTGCACCGTTGTTCAACCTAAAAAGTATGTCCTAAACAATAAATCAACAAAAACGATGGTCTAACAAAAAGGAAATTCGCTGAGAAAATGAAACTTGAGGCTGTGGGGAAAATCAGGATTAGCAGGAGAAGCCAAAACTAGACATGCAGGAATGCCTCTTCAATATCGCCTGGCGGTTGTGGGTCTGGGAACCCCCGATGTCCTTGGTCTTGCCGACTTCGAGCGCAGGGGATTGGAAACTCCATCGGTGTTGTAGCTGAGATAAACATGCGAAAGGTCTAGGAAATCAGGTTCCTTGCCACTGGTCTTGTGAGCCGAGATGTGTTTTCTCATATTGTTGCCCGTATAGGCCACACATTTTAGTTGCCATTCCCCAATGTCCTCGTTCCAGTGGGTATACTGATTAATCATCGACTGGTACTCCTTGGGCACATAGGAATTTAATACCAACTCGCATAAAGCTAGTTCCCTGGACAGGCTCCTGATGTTCTCATAAATTCCCTCCTTCTCGCGCTGGTGCTCCTGCTGTTGGTCAGCCAGTTCCGACTTGACACCCATCAGCATCTGCATCACACGATGGATCTTCTTGGTAATGCCAGTGCTTGCATCTTGGAGCGTGGAATAACGCTCTTCAATGTCAATCCTTTCGGTGGCCTTCTGCTGTAGGGTTTGCTTGAGTGCCTCCTCGGATTTTTCATGTTTTTCCAGCTCAGCAATAGATTGCTCTAGTAGCATCTCTTGGGTTTGGGCTTTCTCTAGAAGATTCTCCCCGCCAACCAGGATTTTGCCTTCCAAGGAGACCAGTTTATTACGAAGCGTTTCTTGTTCCGTCTTAGCATGTTCGATTTCCTTCTGATGTTCGTTCTTTCGCTGAGCTAGTTCCTCCTTCTCGGCATCGGTTTTCTCCCGCTTCTTCTTTGGTTTCTTCTCCACAGCTTGGACTGTAGAAGACTCCATTTCGATCTCCAGGGGAGCCTCCAGCTCGTCATCGGCTGTGTCCTCCTCTTCCTCGGAACTTGGCGGCTCCTCCTCCAGACTGCTGCCCTCTTCCAACTGCTTTCGCAAACGAGCAATCTCCTCCTGAAAGTGACGCAGCAAAGCATCCTTGGGCTCCTCATTGATGTGCATGCGATTTTGGATATTCTTAGCACGACTAGCATAGCGCAGTGTGGATATAGTTTCCATATAGTTGCTATCCGCTGGACTAATAGTGGCACACATCACGGTCTTGGAGTTACCTCCCAGGGAGTCCTGAAGGAGTCGGGTTAGCTTGGAGTTTCTGTAGGGGATGTGAGTGCTCTTTCCATCCACCAAAGCACTTATGACATTTCCCAGCACCGAAAGCGAAAGATTAATTTTGGTAGCTTCTTTAAGTCTCTGTCCACTGGCCTGGGTTTTCGACTGCCTTTCGGAACCGGCAAGATCCACCAGCTGTAGTTTACCCATCCTCACATGCTGGACACCACCTTCGCCCAGTTCACTTCGCTCTACGGTTATCGAGAAAATGGCATGGGATCGGGAACTCTCCTGGTTCATTTTGGTAGCTCCCACAGCTCGATTTTTATTTCCCAATCGCATTATGTTCTCCAGATCATCGGCATTGTGCACCACATAACCACTGAGATCCTTGACAAAGACTCCGATATCAGGGCGTTCCTTAACTTCCAGACTCTTTCCCACATCCTTGCCCAGCAGATCCCGCACCTCTTCGTTATATATCTCCATATAGCTGACTCGCACCAGGAACTTCTGGTTCTCCTTGGCCTTGGCAATATGCCCAAAGATATGGGCAAATGCATTGGGAATTATGCCCTTTGTTTGTGGTGAATCAGGATTTCCGGACATGGTGTAGGTTTTTCCGGTTCCCGTTTGTCCATAGGCCAGAATAGTGCCATTATAGCCCTCGAGGACCTTATCCACAATTGGACGAGCGGTGTCCACATAGAGATCCATCTGATTGGAGCCGCCATCGAAAACATTGTCAAAATAATAGGTTTTCGGTGGTTCATTGGCCGTGGCATTGGGCTTCATCACGGTTATGGCCCGGTTGAGTTTATCCACGGAAATGGCACTTAGAGCTCCGGTGGACAGCTCATTTTTATCCATGGGACGGGTTCGCACCACCACACGCACATTCTCGATTTCGTCATCGAGCTGGGCAGCCGTTCCTGAATTTCCCTCGTCCTGCGGCATTTTGTTGAAGATCCTGCAGGTCCTCCGCTTGATTCCTTATCTAGTCACTTCTATTAACCACTTTTTGCGCTGACCGCACTTAGTGGAAATCGATATTTGGGGTTTTTCTTCGCATTTGTTTATGCGTTGCTAGGTTTTTTTTTTGCGAATGATTAAGCGACGGATAGTCAGCTGTTATCGATAAGTGGGGGAGTGCGAAATAACTAGATAGAGGGCTGCCAGATCAGCGGGAAAAGGTCTTCATCGATTGCAACTCCCAATTGGAAAAATACTAATGTTAAAGATTTCAAAAAGGTTTTTATTTGTTGAAAGTTTATTAAAAAGTTTTTAAAGTCATAAAATGTAAAATCAAATAGGTTTATAAAATAAAATATTTCTGGGGTATACATTTTTCAAAAACTTAGATTCATATATATTTGAAACAAAAAAATAATTGTTTTAATAATATATATTAAATAATTGTTATAAAAAAAAATTATCTTTATTTTTTCTAGAATTTTAAAATAAAAAATAACTTTAAAAAACTTAGAATATGAAGAAATCAATATATAAAAATATTGTGGATTGCTCCCAAACTTATGCTAAGCTTTTTTACGCGGTTTTTTTACAGTTGTTTTGGAAATTTTTACTTTGATATCCTCAAGTGGTTCCCAATTTAAAAAATAAAATCAACAAGTGGTTCCAATTGGATTGGATTACTAAAAAAATGTTTTTATTATGATAACTTCAACAGTTGTTATTATTATTAACTAAATTTAAAAATATTTAAAAAATAAAAAAAAATTATATTAAAAATACCAACTATCGCCCTCAACGATGAACCCTCCGAAATCAACGAGTTTCCACTGAGAGCGGCGAGTAAACATCTGCCCACCACCTCCGCGAGAGAGTTCCGAAGAAGAGGAAGACGTTGTGCCAGTGGAACTGAAAGATTCGATTGGCGATTGGCTGCCCGCAGAGTTTCCTTTACACGACCAGACGACGCAGAAATTAAAACTCCGGCCACCATGGCAGCGACATTACGAAGATTCCATGGCTTGAGGATGCTGAAATCCGCGCCAGCTTTCAACCTCCAGCAGGTAAAAACTCGCAAGCGAACGGATCGAAATTTTCCCTAGGACCATCCACCACGGCATCTCGAAAATGTCATGTCAATTGGAGAAAAACATCAGATAATAACACTTCATGGGATTAAAGATCAAGTTAAATGTTTGAAAAGAAATGTTATAGTGAAGTACAATGAGAAATCCTAATCTTATGGGTAGCCCAATGCATAGATACGAACTGAACAACCCAATTATGTAACTCCGTGCAAAAATTCGTACTCTCCTTGGTCGACCGAGAGATTCTAATCGTATCTTCTCTCCTTGCAGGCTAAGAACCTCTCCACCGCCGGAAGTTGGGCAAGTAACAACAAGAAGGTAAGTCGGCAAGTCAGGAATCTCTGAGATTCTCCACTTGGCATTTCATAATACCCGAACGGCCCTAACCTCAAAACGCGTTTGCTTCTCGGTGACTCTGTGTGCGCGGGTGTACGTGTGTGTGTGTTTGTGTGTGCGGCAAACAGCTGATCGGAGCCGTGGGAGCGATTACCGGCGGAGTCGGTGCCCTTCTCTTCGCCCTGGAGCAATCCGTGCAGGCCTCCGGCGGTGAGGTGCACTCCCCCGCACAACTCTGGAACCACAAGGGCCTCTTCGACGCCTTGGATCACCAGAGGTAAGGTATAAAAGAGGATTGTTGAGAGTTTGAGCTACCGGAATATCACAGGAATTGTAATCAACTGGATTTTAATGGATTTCTAGTTGGAATTCAGTTGGAATAATACTTCTGTGGCACTCTGGAATAGTAAACAAAACTCAATACGGATCTGCTAGTTCCTCCTATTCCTGTTTTTCAGATATTAATCTCTATTTTTATTATTTTCCTTCCAGCGTTCGTCGTGGCTACGAGGTGTACAAGCAGGTGTGCTCCGCCTGCCACTCGATGCAATACATTGCCTACCGCAATCTGGTTGGTGTCAGCCACACCGAGGCCGAGGCCAAGGCTGAAGCCGAGCAGATCACGGTGAGTCCTTCAAGGAGATACTCAATATAAATGGTTTCTAATTTAAACAAATAAATCCGAAACAGGTCAAGGACGGTCCCGATGATACCGGCAACTACTACACTCGCCCTGGCAAGCTGTCGGACTACTTCCCGTCTCCTTATCCCAACGAGGAGGCGGCCCGTGCTGCCAACAACGGTGCTTACCCACCGGATTTGAGTTACATTGTGTCGGCGCGCAAGGGCGGAGAGGATTATATCTTCTCCCTGCTGACGGGCTACCATGAAGCTCCTGCCGGAGTGATCCTTCGTGAGGGTCAGTACTTCAACCCGTACTTCCCGGGTGGTGCCATTTCCATGGCCCAGGTGTTGTACAACGAGGTGGGTTGTTTATTAAATTACTAGGGAAAACCTGAGGATTATTTAAATATTTAATATTTTTCCAGGTCATTGAGTACGAGGACGGCACACCGCCGACGCAGAGCCAGCTGGCCAAGGATGTGGCCACTTTCCTGAAGTGGACCTCCGAGCCGGAGCACGACGATCGCAAGCAGCTGTTGATCAAGGTGATCGGCATCCTCGGCTTCCTGACCGTCATCTCGTATTACATTAAGCGACACAAGTGGTCATCGCTCAAGTCGCGAAAGATCGTGTTCGTGCCCAAGGAGAAGTAGAATGTTTGAATTTGATTTTGATGGTGTGAAGAATTGCAGTGTTATCGCGGCTTTACCGACTAATAAAGATAAATCAATTTTAAGCAAAACCAAACAAACACACAAAAGAACAGCATCCGCAACCACCAAGTCAATGTTCTTCTCTCTCTCCACGAAAAACAGAAATAACTATATAATTTGCGAGAGCCAACAATACGATCCAAATAAAAATCTAGCTAAATCTATAACATCTTGGGTATATGCCAAATACCAAAGAAAGATCAGATCGGAAAGTTCAATGAGAGGGGGATTGAAGCTTAAGAAACTACCAGAGCCTAGCAAAATGAATGATGGATAATGTAACATTGATTGTGTATAGCATGGATAATTCAATTATGTATTTAAAAAATAAACAATTGACAAATAAACGGAAATGATTAACGTATGATCATTCCAGAGAGGTGGAGAAGGGATATTTAAGTTGGTTTTTCTAAGGCCCTTACTGAGTCCTATAGATTTCGTTCTTTAATTATTGGTACTCTCCACTTGAATTTCTTATACATTCTTTTAATTTTTTTTCTTTTTCATATATGAACTTAGAGTCAATCTGATGTTTATCATCGCCATATAAAACAAATTCTAAATTCCAAACCAATTTCCCGCTATTAATCATCATCCATTTTCAATTTATTGAGGTTCCTTGATTTTGTTTATCAATGGCTGTGTTTGTGGGTGATACAGGAAAAATCCGTAAACTTGAATAGAAAACCTCAAACTAGAGATCATTAAAAACTCATGAGCAAGATCTTTCGTAATTTATAGGAAACTTTCAATAATATCCTCCTTATAAATTACTAAGTTTGCACTTCAGTTTTACACATTTTTTTTTTATTGGATTAATTGTTTTATTTAGAAGCTTAAATTAAAGTATTATTTTAATCATCGTTCATCATTCTGTCCGCACGATTTCCTCATCGGCTTAGTGTGTGTGTGTGTTTCTATATATATCTATAATTTCCACTTTTCAATGATTATAAATCGCGTCTCTCGTCCCAAGCGATTCGGGAAGAAGATATTGAAAAAAATATAATCAAAAAATCAACTAAAGTTGCTTCTTTAATAAAAAATCTTGCGTACTGGCGCGCTGTCTACAAAAAATCTGTTCGACATGTTGTTTTATTTAAATTAATATATATATTTTGCTTTATGTATATAATTAATAAATTTTTTAGTATAGGCAAAAAACAATAATTACGCTTCTCATTTGAAAAAACGCGGCTGTGATCTTTGTTTAAACTTTATCATTTTCATTCTTTACTTTTACTTTTCGATTAGTTTACGGATTTCGTTTGTTGAGTTCAAATTATATGATTTTTCGCATCTTTCTCATAGGCATTTACTTGTTTTATTTCTTATTTAAGAAGTTTTGTTTTTATTATTTTGTTGGGACTGAAGTAGAAGTAAAGTAACGAAACACGATGACATAGTTCATGACGGAAGGGACGACGACGACCTTTTCATAGTGACGCTTCTATCGCATTTTTCGCTGCTGTTCCCTTTACTTATAGTATAGCTTGCATTTGGTTGTTGTTCTTGCCACAATAACCGCACTCGATCTTTATTACGTTCAGTATAATCATTCGCTGCCGCCGAATGCAACTCAAAGGAGCAGCCGCCACACAATCTCTGTCACACGATTGTGGACAGTTTCTTGGTCTTGGACTTGTTGGACTGATGGGGTTTTCCTGCTATTATTGGGTGTGAATGCTCCTCCCGTTGTAGTTGCAATCGTTGCTGCTGCAGCTGCTGCTGGTGTTGCTAACGGATGTTGTCGACTAAAAACAGCTTCCTTCTGGCGGCTGTGCCAGCTTCAGGTTCTCTTTCATGGTCATAATCCTACGGATTTCCTGCAGCATCGTTTTTATAGTGTATTCGCGACTCCATCTGGCCAGCATCTGCACTGATCTATGATCAACCTGTGGGAATTTTCCAATAAATCATTAGCATTTCGTTTCTCTACTTAACACACGCCATTCAATTTGATTTACTCACCACGCCATTGTTCTGATTAATGCAGTTAATGTTTACTTTAGTTAAAAACCTGAGCGTCGGTGGCTCATCCGGATAACGTTCGCCGCACTCAATCTTTAGTGAATACATTCGATTCTCGAATGGTGTCTGTAAGGCAAAAGAATTTCCAATTAACATTTAACAAGTTGCCAACTGATTATCCGCTAAATACTGTGTGAAATTACGGCCAGAGTGTCGATGAGTCAGTCAGGCAACCAATACCCTAAATTTTCTACTTTCCCACTGACGCCACACTGCAGCTAAGACCATGTTAGGGTTCTGTTTGGATACCCTACCACCCTAACTCCTCAATGATTCATGCGGCGGCGCGCGCAACACTCCTAGACTATACAAAAATTAAATGCAAATTTAGTTTTCTTTTCGGTTTTCGGAAGTAATTCAAGGGGAAAGCTATTTTCTTAGAGGATTTTACACAAAGGGAAAGAATTTCCAAATGAGTTAGCTAAGGTATGAATAAATTAGCATTCTAACAATCTGTATATATTGTGTATCAAGAATAATCACTTACAGATCATTGGTCTTAAGATAGATTAAAAAATATGAAAATAAGTGCTCACAAAATACAACTTATCTGTAGTAAAAAGGACATTCTATTAACATTTCCTAAACAAATCTTTAGGCAAATAAAAACCCTTTAAAGATACTTAAAACGATTTAAAATGAGTTCCACATTCATGGCTTTACGCAACCCCAGCGATAGTGTCAATAATCCTACCGAAAGAACTGATAAATCGGTCTTATCTAGTGACGTAGTGGGGAAAGTGCCACTGTTATGGGCCATATAAAACTTCAATCCGAATGGAAACTTACTCTAGGCGGACCGATGATCATGCCGATCCAGTAGGTGAGCGTCATGTCGTCGTCGTTCTCCAATCCCCACGATATGGTGCCATCGCCCACGCCCTTCTGGCCCTGATCCAGCTCCTCCAGTAAGCGGAAATTTCGTGGCACCACTGAAATTGTAAAAAGCGTAAAGGTGAGAGTTCGCTGACATAATAGGGTCTTCATTGAAAAATGTAATTATTTAAGTTTATTGACAGCCTGATTTCAATTTCCTTAACTCACAGTATTAGTTTATAATTTAATTTTCAATTAATCTTAGTCACTGTCGTAAGAATGTATATATATGGATATACTTTAAAAGCTTTCTTATAAGAACGACAAATTGTAATATATTTAAAATTTTTAAAAAACATTTGCACCAAAAGATAAAAATATATAAAATACTGCATTTAAAAGATATGTTTTTTGGGTAATATTGTTAATATTTTCACATTTGATTTTGAGTTTTCTTGCTTTTATATTAATATTATTTTCAGTATTCAACCTTACTTTAATTATAAAATTTCTGTATAGTTTTAGATTTCTTATTGAATTTTGACTACTTCTGTAACTAATTCAATGTCATTTTCTCTCAGTGTTGGGTCATATGGGTACGTGTTGTTGTTGTTTTGCGCTCTGCGTCTTGTGTTGTTTTTGTTTTCGCCCGTGTGACTTTGCACGCATTTTCGTGCAGAGAACAAGTAAAAAAAAAGTGCGAAGAACAGATATTAAAAACGAAGAACGGGCGAGGGGAGGGTGTGTCGGCGGGGTAGTGAAGAAAGCATAATTTCTGCATTTGCAAAAACAATCCGAGCAAATGTAATTTGCAGCTAATTTAATTAGAAAAGAAAGGCAGCTTGTAAAACGCACGCAAAACGCAAGTGTGCAAAAATATAAAAAAAAAACTAAAAAGTATGAAGGCAAGAAGAAGAGTGTATGGGAGAAAGAGACAGAAAGAGAGGGGTGGAGCGGGGCGATATTTCGGAAAATGTCAAGTCACGAAGCGAAATTGCAACGGAGTTTTTCCAATAGGGAAAAGCGGCCAGCGAAAATTGCTAGAGCGGCGTGGTCCTCAAGAAATATCCATTCGCCCGTTTCGCTTTTATCGGCTTTCGTCTTTCGCCCTTGCTTTCGTCTTCTTTTTTTGCCCGTTTTTCACACACACACACATTGCGGTCCGCTTTCCAGGCTCGTTGCGACGGAAAAATCGACGCCGGCCAGCGGGAAATACGATAAATAAATGGCCAACGGTTTCAGGCGATTGCGGGTGGCATTTTCAAGGTGCCAAATTGTTAATTTATCTATTTTATTTCTTACCAACGCCGGTACTTGATGTATTCGCCATTGTGGTTAACGCTAAATGTAAAATACCACAAAACGGTACCTAACGCGTTTCAGGCTTAGACTGACCGCACTAAAGTTTTCTTTGAGTTTCCACCGTTTTCTAACTCTGACACGGCCTTATTCCAGGAATCTGTTAAGTGTAAGTTATTATCGACTTTAATTAACAGCTCTGTTAAAATTAATTTTTTAAAAATTTATTAAATAGGCTCTGAAACAACTATTTTGGAAGAGTATCCATAGCTATTCTGAAATTGGTTCGTTTTGTTCAAGACATAGCATACAGTGAATGATGGTCTCACCAAAAATACCAGACAGCTGCTCTGCTATCAGCGCCGTTAACTAACATGACACTGTGTCCAATGTTAACGCGTCAGCTTTTTAAACAAACTTATTCCCACTGATGAAATATTAATTGGCCAATCCACCGACTAAGAATTAATGCTAAATCGATAGAGTAAGGAAGATGGACAGCCTCTATCACCAGACCAACAATGCAGTAAAGGATATCGAGCGGGACTTCCAGCAGCTGAGTCGACTAAGTCCCCAAGAATCCCTTGACGTGGAAAATGGAATTCAACTAAAGATTACCCAGGCAAATTCGTAGGTTTATTAATGAATGTTACTTTAAAAACAATAATATTAATGGTTTATCTCATTTACAAAGTAACTGCGATCGATTGGATGTGCTATTGTTTAAAGTGCCGCCTTCACAGCGACAAAGTTCCAAACTTCGGGTGGATCAACTGAAATATGACCTGAGGCACCTACAGACATCCCTGCAAACGGCAAGGGAACGCAGGCAGCGGAAAATGCAGGAGATATCGGAGAGAGAACAGCTCCTAAATCACAGATTTACCGCGAATAGTTCCCAACCAGAAGAAACCTGCCTGCAATTGGATTACGAACTACAACATCATACCCAGCTGGGTAACGCCCATCGAGGTGTGGACGATATGATAGCCTCTGGCAGCGGAATCCTCGAGAGCCTTATCTCCCAACGAATGACACTGGGCGGAGCTCATAAGAGAATTCAGGCCATAGGCAGTACTTTGGGTCTATCCAATCACACCATGAAACTTATAGAGCGACGGCTGGTCGAAGATCGTCGGATTTTTGTTGGCGGAGGGATAGTTACCTTGGTTATCATCGCCCTAATCATCTACTTCCTAGTGCTCTAATATAAATACGGTTTGTTTTAGCGAGTGTAAATTAATAGTGGAGTATAATTTTTATAATGTTGAAAATGCACATTAATTAATCATCGCTCTCTAGAGAGATATTGCTTCCAAAACGTTGGTACAAATGAGCTTTCAGCTCGTCCATTTCTGCCTTGATCACTTTTGCCTTGGCTTCTATACCGGCGATCTCTTTGAGAATCGTATCCTTGGTCTCCTTAAGCAAGTCCTGGGTTCTTTCCAGCTTGTGTGAGAGAAAGACCTCGCCCACGAGGAAAGGTATATCCTCGTCTTCGTCGAACAGTTCAATCTCCTCCAGAGCTTCTTCGACGGATTTCAATTCATTCCGCTTCATTTCCAGCTCGGCTTTGAAGTCATCCATGCGGGCGTTATGCTTGGCAAACCGGTTTATCCGCTGTTGGTCCTCAAAGGATATATGCACATCATCGTGCTGAAATAAAAGGAATTTTGTTAGAAGCTGTTTACCACGGTGATAAGAACAACAGATGGTCAGACATTTTTATCAAATATTAATTGTGGGATTTGATATGTAATGTATTTATGTTTAAGCGATAAAATTCTAAGGAGCGAGCCCTTCTTTTATGGATGACAAGGTTTGATCAAAATTGAAATGCCTTTTGTATAGGTTCCACCGGAACCTCACAAAGTGAGGTTACTTTTTATTCCATCATCTGTCCGTTGATGATTCACCAATACTCACGCTCTGGAACACCTTGTTCGTGCCGCTTGCTACTTTTGCTGCCATTTTACTTTGATTTACAATATAATTAATAAATAATTTAAGGAGTTTTACAAACAGTTGCTATCTTCGATACTAAGCAAAAATGTATACTTTTTGTTGTAAATTTCAGTGCTGACAGCGTATAACAGAGCCAGCTGAGGCGTTAGGTTTTTTCCGCCAGTGATGTTGAACTAGCCTTTTTATACGTCTATACAAATTTTAAAAGTACATCTTTTTTTGTTGTGTTTTTTAAGTTTTAATAAAATTTTATATTTTTTCGGGGTTATTCAAACTGAAATGTTTTTAGTATAACTTAAATCTAAGACATATTATATCATAGCTACTGTTTGTTTCCTTCCATGTAGATGATTATGGCAGCACTATAATCAATATTCTGTTAGAGTTAACAGTGTAAAATTCTTGTATCAAATGTAATTTACTTGCCGTTTTACCTTGGCCGTTAATAATAATACAAATTAAAATACATACTTGTATTAATAATTAAAAAAATATATATTATTCTCAAAGAAATTACTTTAAATTAAACTTAAACTTGCCTTAAACCTCATGGAGAACTAGGCAGATAATTATTTATACCTGAAATTGTATAGATATCAAATTTGTCCAATTAGTTCAATCCAAAGCAAGTTATAAAATTTAACACCAAAAAACTATTTAATATAATTAAAACACGTTCGTAACATTGTGATTAAATACAAAAATACACAAAAAATAAATTGTTTTTGCAATTTTCCATATTATTTTGCCCATTTATTCGACACGAATTAAGACCACCACACAGCTAATTAGTCAAAGTTATTATTGCTTCCTTTTGGCCATTCGATTTAATCACTAATTGTTTGCACATGTCACAAATTAAGCAAAAACTAATAAATTATTTCAGTTAATCACCGTAATTAAACGGGATTTCTTCACCCGATGCAATTAAATTTCCGTTGTCAGCTTAGGAATTTTCATTTCCCCTTCTGTTTTTCCCCATTGAATTTCACGAATTTTCATTCGCATTAAAACGTTGTATTTTCCAGATAGAGAATGCATTTGCCACTTTCATTTCCCTTTTGGAATATTATCAAAATATGCAAATGCAATTAGACGGAAGTTAACATTATCCATTAAGGAAGTGAGAAAGTGCAGGAAAGGAGGAGAGAGTGTTAATATCCTGGAGATGGCTCCGCTTTTTCGCTGAATATCCCTTTGGGCTTTGTCATTTTACAAATTGGAATCGTCTCGGATTTAGGCAAATATTTGCAATATGAAAAGTTGTTGATTCTGCAGCAGTTCCTGCAATTGATGACTAATTTATTGAATTTGCATCACATAAATTGCAATCGAGCTGCAACAAGTTGTTCGTTGACTTTTATCTGGACTTCTATCATGTTTATTGAAAATTTCATCAGTTTATTAGTTTAGCTTAGCAATCAGATTAGGATTAGATTGGACCAGAAATTGTTGACTTTAAATCAACATTGCTATTGATTTCGCACAATGCTGGAATTTGTTTTAGTTTAAATTTTTATGTGCTTGTTTATTTATGTAAAAATAATGTTGATTAGGATTACGAAGGTAGAATTATTAAGTATTTATATAGATTTTTGTAGTATTTTTAAATTTAAATCTTAAGCCCTTAAATGACAATTATGTAAGTTTGAAACTCTTTTGCTGCCTCCCATTAAAGGACTACCCATTGACCCACTTTCGGGTCATCAAGTGATGCCCACATCGAGTGTCGCACATATGGGCTGAGTCCTTGCTAAAAAGGATTCACTTCCTCTTCTCTCCTCTTCTCCCATCTTTCGACCGTTCTCCTACAGTGCGTGAATCCTGAAACACGAGGGAAATCAAAAGACATGGCGTCAATCAGTTTTCCACTAAGCCAGGCAGATGTTTGTTGCCTCCTGCGGGCATGCTGCCTGCTTTTCCCTTTCCCTTTTTCCAAGTCGTCCTGTGGATTTTCCCTCTTTTCCGATACCGATCTTTATGAAGTGGAAAACTTGGCAGCAATCGGTTGACCCGCACTTGAAGTGTCCCTCCCACCTCCAAAAAAGAGGTAGTTAAACTTTGCTTAGTTCAGGTATTGATATATATTTCGGCTCCTACAGTTAGTATTTACATTTGCCCAACTATTCCATTGTTTGTCCATTTTGCAGGATGGATGTGCTTTGATTTCGATTTCATTGCACACAGGTGCCCAGCTGAGGATAGTTCGGTTCGGTGAATGCTATTTGATCAAGGCAACTATTTGTAGTTGTCCTGGGCTCTTACATTCAGGAAAAACTATAGGTCTTGTTGTGTCAAAATAGCAATAAAAGTGTTATATGAAACTGTATAAAAATCAATTTAAGATATTATAAAATAGCTTAATATGGAACAACGGATTAAATATGGCAAATGAGAAAAAAAGTGAAACAAGTTTATCAGTCATAATAGTAATAAAAACCTTCCAAAATCAATATAGCAATAATATTTAAGCTTAAATAATATTTTTCGTAAAAATGTTAAAGGCTAATCCTTTTTTTTTCCTTCACCTGAAATTTACTGTGCTTTTTGTATTTTATTTTATATTAGAAACATGCCAGCTCTTGTTTATTTCCACCTACTATTTGTGGCTTTGTCTAACTTCGGCTCTCCTTTAACTCTCCGGAGTGTCGTAGTCTACTGCCAGAAATTGTTTATGTTTAATGGGAGTTTCGGTTGAAATATGCATGCTTTAAGTTGGCCCGATCGAATGAGCCACCCCCCTGGAAATTGAGTTAACATCTCTGGGTTCTCATTTCGCATTCTGTTTTCGTTTCACTTTATTTTTTGGATTCGATTGCAATTTGTGTTATTAAAAGCAGCCTCTGTGTGTGTTCGGGGTCTGAGCCATGGCTTTAAGCGTTAATTTATCAAGCCAACAGACTACAGACTCTCTTCTATATAGATACTTTTGTATCTCGAGATGAGAGTCACGTTCCCTGATGAGAGGCTTGAAAAGGATTTATGGCCTCACTTAAATTTCCCTCCGTTGATGAGACACAATTCGGAGTCCTCGACAGGTGCCATAAGTGGCACGAAAATGAATAATAATGACAGCTAGTCGTATATGATTAACCCGATGACTGATAGGTCAAGTGGAATCAGCGACATTTGTTGCTTACTTGGCTAATGTGGTTTTAATGAGTAGGAAAGTTGATCGAATATGGTTTGGTCATTAAGTTGGAGTCAAAAAGGATACCATTAATAGCTTTTGAGAGCAGCAGAAAATAGTAAATGTAAAAATAATAATAAAAACTCTTTAAAAATATCTTTAATACCTTAAGCTTCATCATTCTCTGTTACATTTTATTTTAAACTTAAATTCAGTTGATTGAATTTTTGGTTAATTACCAGCGGTTAGGTTTTTAATGCCCCGAACATTATGTGCACAACCGAGGAAAAATGAATGTTCTTGGCAGGCCACACAAAAGGATCTCCTTGGGAAAAGCCAGTAAAGGGGCAACCTGCTGAAGCCTCATAAATAAAACATGGAGCTTCTCACTCTCACTCTAGAATTTTGGGTTGTTCAATTCATAAATAATGAGTGAGCTCTCCAGGTGAACTCTTCGCTATGCCTTTGAAATGCAAATAAAAGGTATTTTCCTAGCCACCACATGGCGTATGCGCAATCCTTGTTTGCCTTTTCCATACATATTTTTCGGGTTCTATTTTTCTTTTTTTTCGTACATTTTTACAATTCAATTGAACTCTGTCCAGAAATATGTTGAGTAATATGTTGAGGCAAATACATATTTCGTGCCTCTGGGCAAATTTGAATTGTCAAAATTGTAACGAGCTTTTCGGTGTCTTTACCCTTTTTCCACATTGCCTGTTTTTCAACCCGTTTCGCTGACATCAACTGCATTGAAATGTCATAAAAATTGAAACACGTTCCTCGTTGTGTTCGCTCCTGTTCCTGCTGTATACCCGGAATGCCCAACATCCCATCCTCTCTCGACTTTGAATGGCATTTCTGATGGCGACACTGGCCTGCAGTGTTTCTGCCTTTTGGCCTTCTGCTTTGCATACAAATAACGCTAATCTTTGGCTGGCCAAACCCATTTCCCTCCGCCCATTTCTGTACCTATACACATAGAGCTACATACATCTCCTAACTCCAACTCGCAGTTTGTGTTCCTGCCACTGACGATGTCCCGACTTGGTCCATTTCGCTGATGGTGCAATTTTGCACTTTACACGTGGCCTGCATCCATCTATTCCTTATGTGGGCGGTGGGGCATTGGGCCGTGGCACACGTCTGGTTGCGCTGGATATTATGAAAATTTATTGTTTTACGTGCGAGTAATTTTGGGCAATTTTGAAAGACTGCGCCAAAGGTCGGCGTGTCTAAATCAATGCGGAAAAAAGTTTTAGCCAAGGAGAGGAGCTCTGCCTTAACTGGTGTAATCTTTATAACAGCTTTTCGAAAATTCTTTTTAGAATTTTAAACAAAAGTTGTTCTCTACAGTAGATAGTAAGTATTATTCCTCTTTAAAATGGAAAATCTATCATCATTTTCCAAAACTAAGAGCACTACAAAATTTCTGCCATTTATTTTTCGACTCTATCTCAACATGCATTTAATCTGCCATCGAAATTACATTCAGTTTTGGGTTTATTGTTGACTTAACATGGACCATTTGCCCGTTCTTCGACAATGGATATATGTTCCCTACATCACATCGGTCTCTTGTTGTATTTATTAGTTAAACCCACAGGCAGAAGTACAGAACGCTTTTGTTCCACAAATGACAATGCAAATAACAAAGGGAAGACGAGTGGCAGGCAGAGCAGCGGCAGCAATGGCAGAGATTCAGTCTTGTTTATTATGCAGCAATTACCATGGGGGCGTATACGTGTTAAGCGTAGGCAAAAGATAAATATTGTCCAAAGGACAATATTTGCCCTGCTGTCCTGCTTCCCCATCCGCCTCCATCAGCCTTTCCCCAACCAATCTAAAGACACAAAAACTTTGCCATAAGCACAACATAATCGTGGAATTATCATTACGGATTTGCAGCTTTTGTTTTTTCCATTTCGAATTTCGTATTCCCATTGGTGGTCAAGTCGTCAGCTTAAGTTCTATCTTAGTATCTCTTGGCTTTGGT